AACGGACACGTGGAAAAATCCCTGGCCAGCAACGAGAAGAACACCAGATCCAGCAGCGAGATCAGAAGAGTTGAAATCCCCAACACCAAAGTGATGTGGGACTGCCTGGACTTTTTGTATCTGATGGCTGCAAATCCACATAGCTTAGCCATGGCAGTTAATCCACGCTTACTCAGACTCACCAAGATTTTGATCCAGAGAAGCCACCACCCAAAGGGCGCTCAGAATCACGTAGATCCACAAGAAGGCCGCAAAGTCCGTCGGTCTGATGACTTTGCTGATGGTGCGCGTTTGGCTCTCAACTAACAAGAAAACCCATTTTGATATTGATTGGGCATGTTTTTGGCTGTGCCAAAAACCGGGTACTTATTTCAAGAAAAAACTCGTTAGAAATTCCTCTTGGATCAACTCACTCATGAAATCATTGTAAATTATTCTGCCCAAGTATTGGGAGTATTTCGTATAAGCGGTCATGCTGGTGTCCGTTAGACTTGTTGGAGGCGAGTACAAGACAATCAGTCCGGTTAGAGCCAAAGCAAACCATGTGGTCCCTTGTAGCTAAAACGAAAACTTCTTTTACTTCTCTGGATGGCCGAAATGGTGCGCAAAAAATACAGTTATTGAAGTTAGTTTCTCAGCAGCTCAACTTGCTCATTTTGCTTCCGAGAAACATGCAAAACGGGCCGGCAAACATGAAATTTTGCAATAATCTTGCGCCACCCTTGCACAAAACGACGATCCTTTTTCTAATTTCATAATAACAGAAGACTGTATTTTTTCTACATAACCTCCCCCTGACTTTAAAGCTGGATCCGCCCCTGTTTCTGCATGGGTTGTATGGAAAATAAATTTCAAAATAGAACAATTTTACGAAAATTCTGAGTATCAAAATTTGGACAAAATTTTTTTGAAGCTGCGGACAAGAATCGATTTAGTTGAGTGGTTTTCGACCATAGGCTTACTAATTTGCCACTCGAATTTTTATCAAACGCGGAATAATTTACACTGAAGCACATGAAACACATTCAAACTAAGATTAGGAGCGTGTTAATGAATGTTGATAATCACTAAAAATAGCGCAGCTGACAAATGAGTTGATGCTGTGGATTATTTATGGTAGCTGGGTGTCTTCTCGTGATTAATTACAGTTTTTTCATTCTTGTTCTATATTCTTGGGTTTTACTAATATTAGTGATGCAAGCACTAGGGAAGAAATCTGTGAGTCTTATCTTTATAAGCGATTTTGATTGATGAGCGCTTTTCGGGAAACGTAGAAATCGTTTCTGTATGAATCACCCCAGCGGAATTTCCCGATAAAGTTTCAGAGTCTTTAAGAAAAACCACCAAAAGTTTAAAAAAATTGCCAAAAGTGAAGCCTTAAACAAGATGATTCTGCATTTGTTTAAATCAACCTTCACTTACCACGATTAAAATGCCCACAGCTCTTGATAGTCGCTGTCTATCCTGCGTTAGGATCATCTTAGAACTTTAAACTTTTCGAAAGACACTAAAACTGATTTTTGTCAATGGAAATTCGAGCCTCTTGATATCACCTTCTTGAGAGGAGGAACAAGTATGATACAGGAAAAAATAATTGTTTTACTTTATCTTCCGAGATAAGGAACAATCATAAATCATCTGTAGGTGTCGAGATGTAGGTATAATATTTTACGTTTCTTTGAAAATCAACGAAGGATTCACAATGGGAATTAAAGGATTATGACCAAACAGTCGAGAGTCTGTTTGCATCAAAAGTCCTCATTTCGGACACAATTTCGAAAAACGGCTAAAAACAGTATTTGAATATATACAGGGTAGCCCACATTAAGACCAAAAGTAATGAGCCGTTATTGTCAGTGACTACAGAACTAGTAAAAATTGGGTTTCTGCCACTTAGGGAGCTAGTCACGGTATTTTACTCGATGCATTTGGTGTTAATCTAATAAATAGTTTTCAGCTAGAAAAAATTGCGGCTTTTACCATAAACCCCCTCGTGCGTGACGCCATAGCAAATACCCCTCAACCCAGACTTCTACGGGTTAGACGTTATTAATTGGCTTCAGTAAATCTGACTGACCGAAAAGCTAATTTTATTTAAGATTATTGTTCAAAGAATCAGTGATTAAATATCTTGATAATAACAAATTTAGTTATTTCTCCGGAAACATCGGCCAGCTCTAGCACCACTCCACCCATTGCTCACCCATTCCTACTGATACAATACATTTATCTATGACAGTACAGAGAGGTTAACAATTTTTCCCACATTTCCTTGATTGTCAAAAAATATTACTCAATAGGCGCCTGTTTTGGGCCCCTTTATTGTAATTTAAAGGCAAAAGCATCGACAATGTTTGCCTCGCGAACTGTGCTATTAAGCCTTGGTAAAAATGCGCAATGCCTCTCTCTTAGGAATCGAATTGCCGAGGTTTTACAGCGAGCAATGGCCCCAAAACGGCCTCTAGCTAGTCTGGCAAACAGTCAGTTTCTTCTGAAACGCCCTGCCACCCCCAACTGCAGCCCCATTAGATGCTATGCCAAAGGCAAGGACAAGAAGAAGGAGAAAGGTTGGTTGACTGTATCGGTCAACTCAAGGGGCTTAAAGCTGGTCTAGTTTGCAGGAAAAACCAAAGTGACGGTCAATGAGAATCAACTGGCCGAAGTGATTAATGTTGGGAGCTTAAAGAGCCTCATGGAAAAGGCTCTGCTTCAAATGGAAGAGGATTTTGTCAAGCATTTGTCATTAAGGTCCACTACTGGTAAAAGCTTGATGCCGGATTTTTATCCTTTTTAACTGCTTGCTGATTATTTGTAGGAGCCATTGAGTCAGTGCCAGTCAATCTGGATGGAAATGAACATACGATGCAAGAATTGGCGCAAATAGTGCGGAAAAATCCCAAAACTATTGTTATGAACTTTGCGACGTTTCCGCAAGCTATTCCTGCCGCTTTGAAGGCTTTGTCGAAGTCTGGAATGAATCTGAACCCCCAGCAGGATGGAACGACACTTTTTATACCTGTTCCCAAGTAAGTGATTTTTTCGAACGTTCCCAACGATAAATATGTAGTTTTTTTACAAACTTCTTGTTGGGTATTTTGCCTTAAAAATGTTTGTCTTTAAAAAAGACAGAATTTCCTCACGTCTTTTATTACAGATTGATAAATAGTGCTCCTATTTCGCTATAAGAACGAATTATTTATCAAAAAGTAATCAAGAACTATCACCTAGAGGGCTTTGCTATCTTGCGACACACTTAGGCTCAAGCTGTAAGAGAAAATTCCAATTAGTAGAGAAATTAATTTGAAAAATTACCTTGACGTTTCGATAGCTATTTTCTGCTATCGTTATCAAAAGAACCTAAAAAAGAGTATGTTAATAAATTGTGTCCGCCGCAGCAATATAGAACTTATCTATGTAGTTTTTATTGAACTTTAAAAAATTTAAATTTTTTTAAAGAGTAACGAAGGAGCACAGAGAGCAGCTAGCCAAGAACGCCAAACAATTGTTTGTAAAGTGCAAAGACTCCGTTCGAGATGTTCAATTGAAATTTATAAAACAGCTGAAAAAACAAGACCGGATCTCTGAAGACTTAGCGCGGAGTGTGGAGCAACAGATAATAGCGATAGCCGACCAGTTTATTGCCAATGCAGAAGCCACGTTGAATAAAAAGCAGGCCGAATTATTAGGCGAGAAGTGAAAATAGTTTAGATGAATTGTCAGGTACCAATAAAAGTCGTTGTTGAAATAAAATCCATTTTATGAGTTTGAAAAAGCCTTACAAAATACCTTAGACGATGATCAACATTTTCGTTTTTTGAGTCGTGCCGTGACTGTCGTGATCAGAAAAGTCCAATCTGAGACAGCCACGGCACAACTATAGTATTTATTGAAAAAGAGGGCGAAAGACAGCGAACTGGCTTCATTGGGGTGGCGAAAACAATTAGTCTGTATCCATCGCATGCTCGGCTGCTTCCATAGCCACTGCCGGAGATGGATCCTGCGGCTCTTCCCCCTCGTCGTCTCTAAAAAAACCAAACAATCTTAAGGGAGCTTTTGAAATTAGTGGCAATTTACCTAAGAGGCGCCAAAGGCCTATCGGCCTGTCCACCGCCTCTACGTTCCTCGCCTTCGATCAGCTTCAAATAAGGCGCAGTCTCTTCCTCATCCAGAATCTTAAACTGTTGCTCTTTGCCCACAAAGCCAATAGAAACGTTCTTGGTGGACAGATCAACCTCTGGGGGAAGAGTGTCTCTCAAGGCTCTAAGGCCATGTTTCACCAACTCATCCAAACTGATATTAACCAGCTGATCCAAGTGCTTCTCCAGATAGGTTCTGGCACTTTGAGATCGGGCCCCAATCGACATAGCTTTGCAATCGTAGTAATTGGCCGATGGACAGGTTTGGTAGATGTGGCTGCCCTTCTCATCAAAGCCAGCAACCAACAGTCCCACTCCATAAGGGCGACGATCGTAGCGTTGCGTACAAATCTGCATTTTATTGCCTAAAACAATAACGTTTTCCACTTGCGCTATGTGTGCACTTAACAGGACTCACCAAGAGTGGAAATCAGCCTGTTCAAAGGCAAATACGTATCGTGAGTGTATTTGTGATTCAAACACTCCGCTCGCATATAGCGGGTGAGAATTCGGGCATCCGCAGTCAGTCCTGAAATGGTAATGCCGATGTGATCATCAATGTTGATGATCTTCTTCTGGTAGGCTGATAATTCAGAGGAGGCCCGTTTCAAGGCGATCAGCACTGCGTGGCTGTTGCTTTTCAGCCCTACGGTAGCGGACCCCAAGTTGACCGCCTCCATGGCGTATTCCACTTGGTGCAAACGGCCCTGGGGGCTCCAAACCGTAACATCACTGTCGTATTGATTGCGGAACATTCCCACTACTAAAAGCCCCACTAACTAAGCGATAAACTATTTTTTTGTTGAAATAAGGTGATGAAGCGGTTTGTATTGGGTTGTGCAAAGTCACACTGACAGTCACAAGTGAGGTTATTTCAGTTTCGAGCAGTGAAAAGCGATGTTGTTTTGCATTTCGCAGCAACGCTGTTGGATAATTTTTTGGGCTTCCTGACGGAAGCACTTTGATTTTTTCCGTTTTATAGAAGATTGCGGAAGAAAAAATATCAATAAACTTGGATGGAAACTTATAAAACAAACTCAAATTTCAAAAGAACATTTTATTCATTAAAGTATGCACTATAATAGCAAATCATATAAACGTGTCGTTTATACCCGGTAGAATGCGTTTTTTTCTGAAACTATTAAGCAATTTTAACAACAAAAATGAATCTTACTGGGTATGCACGATGCCATCACTCACGCAGCAAAATTAAGCAACCAAAAAATCCATTCTTCTTTCAACTTAAACAAAATATACACATTCGATGTTCCCTCAAAGGGCCATGTGTCGTCCTTCTATAGAAATATCGACGGCCCTTCTGGTTTGCTTCAACCGTTTGCCATCCAGGAAGTTCTTGTAGTGCTTCTCAAAACGATTCATCCCTTTCTTGGTTTGCTGAAACAGCAGCACGTGATTTTTGCCGTTTTTTCTCGATTTAACAACACTTACTCTACTTATATCTACTTCAGATTTCCATTTGGGCCTGACTAGATAGTCCTTGCTTGACGGCACTGGCACTCGAGCACGAGCAACCCAACCCTTCTCTCCTGGTCGTAGAGGCCTGAAAAAAGCAATTAAAGCTTAATATATCAGGGCATTTTTCAAAGACTCACTTTCCATCGGCATTGAGGGCTTTAGCCAACTCTTTTCGCTCTTTTTCGGATTGTTCCTCGGTTTTGCGCCGTTTGCTGCCCATCTGCTCTATGTCTCGCTGTAGACGCTCCTCTTTGCTAAGAGCTGCAAAGCAACATTCAGCTATGTGTTGCTAGAGTTTTCTATAAACTCACCTTTGAAATCTGTGGATAAATTGAAGATTGGTCGCGCCCATTCGCTGATTAGTCTTCCAGCTTTTTCTCTGTTCTCCTTTATTTCCTTGGGGTGTTTGTACAGGTACATTACAGCCTTTCCTATGCCTGATTGTTTGAGGGTTTGCTGGTCGATTGGAGGAAACTGCAATATGTACACTCGTTAAAACTGTGCACCTTTGAGGTTTGAGCGTCTTACTTCCGCAAGTAGCTTCAGAATGCTCTCTCTCACTTGAAGGGAGGGCATGGAGCGGTCGGGCATCGGCGCCAGCCAATCAGTGAGCACATTAAGTACGTTGTGCTCAATGAAGGCCAATTGTAGGTCGTGTTTTTTGAGTTGAGACATGACCTTGGCTAGCATGGCAATTTTCTTTATGGCCGGCTTGTGCTCCTGATTCAGCCTTCTGTCCTCCTAGGAGAAAAAACCTGCATAAATCTAAAGAGATATTTGGCTTTTTTAAAAATGGGGATATATTATGCGAATCTTCATATACTGTATTATCCAAGTATTGTTACACAATTTATTAACATACTCTTTTTTAGGTTCATTTAGGTTCTTTTGAAACGCCAAGGTAATTTTTCAAATTAATTTCTTTACTAATTGGAATTTTCTGTTACAGCTTGAGCAGCTAGTGTGTCGCAGGATACCCTCTAGGTGATAGTTCTTGAT